ATAGACGAGAAGTAAGATTACCATCGAAAATTACCCACAAAACCAGACCCCCATTACTCCATCTGAAAATGAAATGAAAAATACTCACTTCTCACTTCCCATCTTCCCATCTTCCATCTCCCATCCTCCATCAAATCCAATCCAATCATCAATCCACAAAACAAATAAATCCCACATACCACACATACCACACATACCACACACACATCAACAAACTAACACCCCCTTCTCCCCCTCTCCCTCTTCCTCTCCCTCTCCCTCTCTCCCTCCCTCCACACAAAACCTCACACTATAGCAACAAAAACAATCCCAATTCCAATCCCAAACACCACACCACACCATACCATACCATTCATTCATTCCACAACTTCACAGCCCATTTTCCAACTCCACTCACTGCCGCTAGCAGCGAAGAGGAAAATACAATACAATACAATACAATACAATACAATTAAATACCTAGGTAGTCTCCTTCCCTCCCTCATCTCTCGAATCACATTATATATATATATATATATTCAACTTCAAAAAAAAAGTATCAAAATTCCAAATAGTCTGAGAAAAAAGTAGAAGCAAGGAAGAAGAATACTAGACAAGAGTAAAGTCACACAACATACATACGTAGTAAGTGGATAACCCAACGCAAATGATAGAGTAAATAGGTACATAGATACTATCTCGTATAAAATTTGTCACGAGAGATGCTTCGAAGGAAGATTGAACGCGAGATGATGGTGTGATAGTGATGACGATGTAAATTTATTCTTATTTATATTCCTCCGAGTCGATGTGATGGTATAATAGTATAATAGTATGTATGTATGTCTTTTCATGATTCATTACTTTTCCCACAATTCTTGATGCCAGTGACAATACCAATTCAATGGTATGTAACCTCATTCCCCACAAAAACTCTACAACCCTCTCATCAACTCCCCAATCGTAATTGGTTTCCTAACCGCATTCGAAAATCCCTCATGAAACGTAACCCATACTTTCTTTTCCGGCATTTTTCTTTTCTCCACCCCCACCATTCTCTCCCGCTCCCACATTACCCCCCCTTCCCACCCCTCTATCTTCCAACACCCTCCCAAAGAAATCCTTCTTAATCTCATTCCCCGTTCCCACCCCCAGAACCTTCTTCTCACTCTTCCCCTTCCCAAACTTTCCCTTCTCAAAAGAATATTCCTCATCCCCTCCATCCACATTCCCCATCTTAAAACGCGCCTGTCTCGCCTTATTCTCGCGCACGATAATATTTTTCTGATATTCCTGATCCAGAACCTGTCTCACCGCATACCTCACATTCATCGCATCATTTTTAATAGGTGATGTCAAGAACGTAACTAGCGTATCAAGAGGTGGTTCCATCCTATAAACCCACTCACTCGCACCCCATTTCGCGCCTACATCACTACCCTCCAACCTTCCTCTCTCATATATTACACCGATTTCGCTCATAACATCTACAGCTCTCTTGACCATTCTCTTTTCAGAATCCTTGCGTACACTGGCTATACCTTTCGTTTCACCGCTTCCTCCTACGATGATAGGTTTTACTTCTGGACTTATCATACGTACAACATAAGGCAATAAATCCATAGCTATATCCTCGCAACTTCTAAAACTTCTCAAAAGTTTCGCGTCAAGTTGAGATTGTAGTTCTTGAATTGTGCTTCTGTTTAACTTCTCCATTTCAAAGGCCGAGAAATCAGCACGCGAGCCGGTGAATGGTAAGGGCTCTGCTTCTGGTTCAGCATCTTCGTTGTTTTTGCTCCACTTCTTGTTTGGCTGATTTTCGGAACGGAAATAGTGACGAGCGGGCGATGCAAATAAATGATGCCATGCTAGAACGGGTTGAGTAAGATAGCCAGCCAATTCCCATTCCTGACCCGAAAAGACGCGTGATGAACAACTATCATGAAAATGTAGCCATTCGTAAGCAGCATCTGGTTTAGAAAGTATCGAGTCATCGTTGAAGGGTTGATTAGGATATTCACCAAAGATATCGGTCATGATCCTATCAGTATCACCACTAGTCTCGATCATGGAACCAAGGCGCTCCATACCTGCTTTCCGAGCAAGTTCAGCAACACCAAGCTGCGTTTTTGGCCCTGCATTAAATGCGTCGTCTGGCACTATGTTTTTGAAACTTGTTGGCCTAGGGAAACCGGCTCCTTCCAGGAACACACGGTTCACAACTTCTTTGATACCTCCTCGTCCAACAGCCCGAGATCCACCTCCGCCGTGAGATAGATCACCAGTCATGTTCTGTTCGACCCATTTTCTAGTTAAGCGAGGTCTTTCGCCTTTAGACTCAGTTCTGAGTTTCCCTGCTGCCCATTCTCCTACTACCAAAATACTTCGTAGATCGCCTTCACCAGTTCCTTCAGCCCCTTTCTTAGTATCCATGGGACTTATTCCCCACGTTGCTTCACATAATCGGCGAATAGCGTCACTATCACAGGATACTCCTTCCTTCTCAAAAACTGTTTGCATTCGCTGAACAACAGCATCTAACGGTGGCTTTCGGATATGTATGATTTCGGCGAAACTGGAATTGCGTAGCGGTCTCAAGGAAGGATGATATACATCGTTACAAACCAAAATCAGTGGTCTCAGAAGTCGAAAATCATCACCTTTCTTTTTCTTCGAGTAATTGGTATTTGTACCCACTGTCGAAGAATTCTTTTGATCCAGAAGTACCAGATCAATTAGAGCCTTGATAAATCCACCCTCACCAGATCCACCAGCACCTCCTACAACTCCATCAACTTCATCAACAACCACACAAAGTGGGTGGGCATTCTTCGATACATGTCCAGATTTCGATGTAACAGTCGAACCAGTCTTGACGTTTTCCGTGCCAACACTTGTTCGAATTCGACCTTTTACTACATCTCGACTTCGTTCATCGCTAGCATTGATTTCCATAACTTCATAACCAGCCTGCCTAGCACAAACATGTGCCAAAGTAGTTTTGCCAAGACCGGGAGGTCCCGTAAGCAAAAGAATTTTGCGATGAGGCTTTTCATCATCTGGTTCCCCGAACTTCTTCGTTGGTACAACTTTAGGTTTTCCGGATTTAGGGAAAACAATAGGATCCCAAGCTTTGAGCCATCGTAGTACTTGACGATGTGTGCGATCGTCTCCACAAAGTTCCATGAAATGTCTTGCCCTATATTTTTCAGTCCACATCAATGTTTTGCGCGGTTTCTTCCCTGTAAGATTCTCAATTGAGGGTATGATCTCATTTTCCGTCTTAGCTTTACTTGATTCCTTCGCCTTAGTCTCCTTTGAAGCTTCCTCGACCAACTCTGATATGTTTATCCCATAGTAACTCTTCTTTGCTTTCCCTGCTTTTGTCACAGATCTAGCTGCTACCAGTTTCTCGAACGATATAGGTGCAGCCTTCTTCTTTAGGTTTATTGAGAAAGACTTTCCTGAGCATGTTTGTATGTCTCCAGCTTTTCTCGTTGTGTTGTTTAGGAAGGCTGGCAACGTGGAGGTGTTAATGTTACTCCCAATAGAATTTGTTGAAGGTTCGAAGGCAGGTTTAGGCAATTGTGTGTCTCGCGAAACCTCCACCACTGAACCTTCCTCGTTTTCCTCATCAGATTCGTCAATCATGAAACCGCTGACAGTTTGGCGTGGCCCTGTCCTTGAAGGTTGTATCTCCTTTGCGGAAGCTTTTTGTGATTCTTCTTCCGGTATGATGATTGGATCCGTGGGTTTCTCAGTCATCCGTCTCTTTGCCGCAGGTTGTTCAAAGTCTTCCTCAGTATCTGAGCCATCATCTAACAGAAACCCTCCAACATTAAGTGGCTTTCTGAGGTCCGACGCTTTTACTGGATGTGGCCTTTTTATTGGAGGTGGTGAGGAACTTTGAGGGTATTCGATTGGCGATGATACTAGCGGCATCTTGAGATTCGGTGGGGAGGAAGGGATAAAGAAGGAATGTTGCTGCTTGGAGGAAGTTATTCGAATTGGTGATTTTTCAAAGATATAAGCATTATAATTTCCCAAGTTTTCAGAGAACAATCAAATTTCTAACCCTGAATATGATCTGCCTCACTTCGAAAAACCTCTGCGACTTTCCAAGCTCTATGTTGAATGACTTCCTCTTCTCTATTCTTTCTCAGTCGAGTTTCCTCTTCAAGTAGATGTAAAGCTTCGAATTCGTCCGACTTGATGTTTGATGGTAGATCTAAAGGGACGAATGAATCCTCCCAATCTTCGAGTAATGCTGGATCAGATGTTGGAGGTAAATCTGGGGTTGAAGTAAATTCCATTGAATTCATCAATCTTCAAGATATAAATTTAATTGATCAATTCCATGGCTGATTGTGTATTTCCTATCGAAAGCGCGAATAACGCGTTGGTGGATACGCGACGTGAAAGTTACTAGGTAGCGTACCGTACCTTAGCATTATACGTAGGACCCCTGATATTACATAATCAAATTAATAAGAGAAATGGAATGGTTCATGCAATCAAACGGAACCTTGCGATCGGTGGTCGGTAGTTAGATAGATCAGATAGATCAGAAGCCTTCTTCGACTACGAGATATATGGTTACCGGTATATGGTACGGCAGCAAACGTTGATATCCTTCTCCTACTGGCATATATTCATACGTTTGATATATATTCATGGATAGCCGGAAGTCAAGAAAGCTCTTGCTCAGTCTTAAATTGGCAATGGCAATGTCAATGTCAATGATTTCCTCTTCCTAGTATATCTTGTTATATACCGGTATCTTGTTTTCATTGATATCGTCACGTGAAGATATCTTTCTCTCAATTGAAATCATTACCGACCTACCTAGGTATCTACTGCATCTCACTGACTAGGAATCCTTTCACCTTCCCATGCCAATTTCCCCGCTTTTGCTTATTCAGGAAGCAAATCACTTGACTCCGCCTCCGTCCTTACTCAGTCGTCGAGTCCAGCTTTCCCCCATCCATATTATTCATATTATTCATATTCCCGAACAATCAATCGCATTCTCGCCTGCGCCCTTTTTCCTTTCTTATTTCCATCAACCAAGCGACCAATTCCACTCCTCGTACATTGATAGACCCATTGAGCCAAGCTGCCGATACTGAATAATACATACAGGGGGAACTCAGAAAGTGTACAATTCGGTTCCTGATGATGGATCAAAGAAGTGTACCTATTGGCCCTATTGGCCCTGTTGGCTCGATTGGACCCAATGGACTCAATGGACCTAATGGACCGATCTCCCCCGCATTCGTATACAATGGGACAATCACATACGCTTCAACAACATCCCCGACAGTTACAGATACCACTTTCAATGCATCTCCAGTAACAAGTCCAATACAAAGGGAAGATGGTCTGACAACAGAACCTCCCAAGAAGAGACAAAAGCGTAACAAGCCTACCCTATCATGTGTTGAATGTGTAGAACGTAAAACAAAGGTTAGTTGTACCCTGCAATGTCTTTTTCGACTCTTGAGTTCCAATGCCATATATGATCAAATTCTAAGCAAAGTTGCTTCTATGTTCTACGTACTATATACATACTGCACTATATGTTCTGCTTCATCTTGGTCAAAGTTGAACACGTTACGATTCTTTTTCCCAGTCTCTGATCATTTCGATGGGTCATGCAATTACATTTACATCGGAGAATAGGGAAAAGGACGACATTCTCCCGGTTGTACTGCTGTAACCCACCTGGGGATCCACCTCCACACTTGTTATGATCCCACCCTTTCTTTTAGGGTTTGTGACATTATGTATCATTCACAAAGTTTATTGCTTCAGTTCTGAACTCTCCCATTTGTCTAGTAATTTATCGAAATGCATATTAATTTATATCTAGTGCGATAGGGGTCGGCCAAATTGTCTTGCATGTAAGTCCAAGCATGTTACAATCTAGATGGACTAGAATAACATAGCGTTTAGGTATTAAGCGACAATCACAATGCGTATATCATCCAACAGCAAACATACTCGAGTTAGTATTACCATGGCATCTTCTGTATAATCTCTAACATCATCTTCAGAGAGACGAACAGGACGACTGCAAATGCTCGACGTATGACTAAACCACCAAAGAAGTTGGGTCCTGGAGCAGGAAATCTTGTCGAACGACCAAGACAAGCACCAGATCCAAGCGAGCGAAGTGCATCTAGGGGCTCCGTTTCTTCATCTACCGGTCTGCTTTCTAATGTACCTTATTCGCACCCAAAAGCCTCGAATGTTTTTGGTATTGGCTCAGAGCATCCCTTTGCAAATTATTGGACATGTCAAGGAGGACTTCCGGAAGTGATTTCGGTGTTACCAGCCAAGGACCAAGCAGACATCTTGATGGAACGATATTTTGAATGTGTCGATCCAGTCTATCCTATGCTTCACAGACAAACATTTTATGCCGATTATGAGCATTTCTGGTCATTAGCAGGACCCGAAAGAGATAGAACAGATGCTGCTCTAGTTGCTATGATATTCTCCATGATAGCTTTGGGGACCCAATTTGTTAACAACTCTCCACCAAAAGAACGACAACAAACTGCCGAGTTTTATGTATCTGCCGCTCACCAATCGCTTCGTCTCGGTTCATATCTTAATAAAGCCTCGATGCGCTCAATCCAAGCCATGGTTCTTATCACATACTTCCTCATCAACGATAATCATGCTTCTGATGGGTGGGCATTTGCCGGTATACTAATTCGACAATCTTATGCTATGGGTCTCCATCGCGATCCTAACATTGTCACTCCAAATGCATCTATCTTTGACAAACAACAGCGTCGAAAACTTTGGCAGGCAGTACTGCTACAAGATACCTTCCTCACTGTTCTACTTTCCCTCCCACCAAGCGCTACACATACAGACGTCAATGTAGAAGACCTCATCGATGATTCCGGCTCCATCGCAAACTGCGATCCAAACGATACAGCTTATATCCGCGGATGTTGGACTCTCGCCAACCTCGTACAAGAAAGCATTTGCTCTCCCCGCTCGCTAGACCTTCCCATCTGTCCCACCGCCCGCCAAAAACATAAACTCATTTCCGATTTCAAAGCCGTCTATCGTTCTTTCCCAGACGTCTTTCGCTCCTGGGACCGCGATTCCATTTCTGTAGTAGCAGAAACTAATAAGCGTCTTGTACGACAAACACTCTTCTTGACGAGTAATTACTTCCATAATGTGATGTTACTCCATTCAAGCGAAAGTCCCGAAGTCCAACCAGATGTTCGAGGAACTTTGAATGCGGCTCACGAAGCTATCAACGCGTTCTTCCTCCTGTATGAACTCTTCGAGAGCGAAAGTAAAGTTTGGTGGGTTTTCAATCATCGCGCATTTTTGGAATGTATGATGATTGGAAATACTTTGCAGGAAGTGAGCAAAGATGAAGACGGCGCGGAGAAATCGGGGAAAGATCCATTGTTTGTTAGGGCTAAGGGGGATATTGGTATGTTTCTTTTTTTTTCTTTTCTTTTCCTTTCTGTTACTCACAGAGCTGTTCCTGGATGTTTGCGTGCTGATGATTAAATAGTCCGCATGATCGATATCATGACCAAAATCGGCGACGGAGATAATGGCTCACAAGTCGCGCGGACGAGAGTCCAGGTTCTAAGTGATTATGTATGAAATTTCTTCCTTACTATCTTTGTTTGAAATGGTTGTAGCATTTTCCTGGGTTGCTGAATTGCTAGGAGAGCAAGCCGAGTGAGTTAGTGAGCGAGTGAGTAGGCGGGTAAATAAGTAAATGGGAGGAGAGAGGAGGGAGGAGGGAGAAGGAAGAGAAGCAACGGCGAAAAAAACCCCTGGTAATCATGCGAGTGCGAATTGTCAATACGGATGCGGATGCGGATATTGAGTCAGGAGGCTCGTGTAGATAGACATGCAGATTAAATAGGTTAGGGTAGGTAGGATAAGTTAAGATAGGATTAGGATATGATTAGGATTAGGATATGTTGAGAGAGTAGAGCTGAAGAATCTTTTCGGGTTAAATATGGTAGAATTGGAAGAGGGAAGAGAAATGAATAGCAATGCAGTTTCTGTACACATTGTTCTTCTTACCTTCACATTTCATACATCACATCTCACATCACATGTAACACATCTCATCTCATAAATCGTAACTCGTTAAGAAACACAACGTAATTATAATACCCAAGTAGGTATCCCCTCTCTGCCCGCCCCAATTTTCCATCCCCACGCACTCACTCATCCATCCATGTAATCTCATTTCATCTCATCTCAAGCCATCTCATAATTCTCCTATGTACCTACCTACCTAGTAATCTGTCAAGAAAAACTATAAACAGTTCCTCACTGTTCTTTTCTTTCAAATCCAGCCCTGTTTAGCGTTACGCTATTCCAGCATTCCACCAATCCACCATTCCAGCATCTTCTCCCCTCTCCATTTTCTTGCTCCAACCCATTCATCTCTCCTTCCAAAGAAAGTTCCAGAGAAGAGGGCACTTCCTTGGGGGGGAAAAAAACAACGCCGAGTGTTATCTGTCCAGCTCGGCTCTGCTAAAGAAAGAACATTTTAAGAAACAAAATCGATTCAACCCCATGCCCACTTCCTTCCTCTCAAACCCCGTGTATATCATCTCGCATCGTATCGTACCGTACCGTAGCGCATCGTAATAACGTAAGTGATGAATAGATGCGTCTTGGACTGCCGGAAAATTGTTTTGTAGACTTTTACGACACTACCATCAATCTTCTTTGGTTTCCTCCACCAAAGCATCCATCCATCCATCCATCCATCCATCCATCCATCATAATCCATCCTTTCGATTTGAAAAAGTTCAAACTCGTCCCTTCAATAATGCACACACCCCCATCTATTCCTGCCTCCTACCAGTACCCCAACGATCTCTAAACCATCCACTCAATCCTCCATTTCCAGCCCCCTCACCTCTAGTCGAACCATCACTCCCACTTCTCTGACTCCTCGGTCTATCCTCTGGAAAGCTCGACGTTGGGCTTCCAAATCCTCTCCTCTGATCGTTTGCACCCGCACTCATACCAGAGTCTCTTCTACCAAAAGCGGGAGGTGTCGGTGCACTATCACTTGGAAAATAACCCGGCATATTTTCGCTTTGAGCGGTAGGACTAATGAAGAAATTACCCGCCATTGCATCTTCCGTCATTCTCTCGGCTTGTCTTTCTGTCTCTCTTCTTTGGGAAGCGGAAGGGCCGGAAGGAGGCATGAAGCGCCCGTTTCGGATAGATTCCAATCGAGCCTCATTTCGGGCCATCCAGTCATTTTGTTCCGAATTGAAACGAGAAAGACGAGCACGACGGCTAGTTGGAGAGGTGGGAGATTGCGAAGTTGGAGAATTGCTCGATCCTCTGGCATTGCTAGCAGACGAGGCGGATGCTTCATTAGCTCCGATACCTTTGCGGCAAATAGGGCAGGTATTATGTGCGCTGAGCCAGGCATTGGCGCAGGACTCATGGAACCAGTGGGAGCAAGGAAGCACGACAACTTCAGTACTAATAAAAACATCATCCATACAAACGCTACATTCGCCTTTGCCTTCGGGGCCAAGCATCTTTTCGTCGAGGGCCTTCTTTGGAAGGGAAGAGATGGCGTCGGCAGGGGCAGGGCCGGGTGCATTGGATTGTTGATGCTGTTCCATCAATTGTGACATAATCTGATCAAATGCCTCTTGCGAATACACAGCATCACCATGTACTGCATTTGGATGATTGAAAAGTGATTGAAGAAGAGCTGGCAAGCCCATAGCTCCAGGAGGAGGCATACCAGAACGACGAGCCTCGCCATCTTCACCTGCTGCTGCTCCACCAGGCCCGGCGCCTATTTGAGAGAATAAATGAGAGATAAGTCTAATACTTTGGTCAGCAAACGATCTTCAAATTAATGCAGAAAGGAAAATGGTACTGAGCTGTGAGAACAGAACGAATGTCAGGAAAAGTACTGGGATTCAGCGTTTGTATGGCTTGAAACATGCCCATAAGATTGGGAACAGGAAGTGCATCAGCTCTGCGTCGGCGCGCCGGCTCACGAATATTGACAAAATGAGAATTAAGGGGTGCATACGTAGACAAATCCTCAACAGGTGCTCCTTGACCCTGGGGACCATTTGCATCTCTTGGCCTTAATCGACCATTTTCGAGCGTTCCTTCAAATGTGTATCGACCACCAACAATACGAGGTCCTTGACGAGCACCTATTCCGGTACCGACTCCACCACCACCCGTATGAAATTCTCCGGCGCGTGGGAATAAGTCATCATGACCCGATCGACCGGTGCGAGCTTCTCTCAAATTCGGACCCAATAGATTTCCTAACATGCTTTGAAAATCTCGCATTGTATCATCGTCACCTCCATCACCACCTGCGGCCCGCCTTCGGCGATTGATGATTCTGTTGGCTTCAAATGGGCCTGGTCCGGAGGTTCTTATTGTTTGCGAAATTAAAATAGAGCCATTTGGACCATGCGTAATGTGTTCTTCAATATCCGCTTCTTCCGGATCTGAATCATCGGCCCAAGGATTATGATTATCAAGATCGCGCAATGGTGCATTTTCTGGAGCATTACCCATGCCACTACGAGGGTCGCTATTTGGATCGACCTAATGAAATGATCAGAAATGACATCGAACGAAGAGCTGCTGAAAGTTGTAGACTTACTATTTCAATAATTTCTCCCTCACACGCTGGACATACCAAGCCATGTTCATCCTGATACCATTCATTCTCGCATTGATGGCAGTAAACCACTTCCCTTTCTCCCGTAGCATCCAAATGTCTACCACCACCAGTTGCATTTCGTGGGTCAGCCATGGCTTCTCTGAACGTTTGGTATGCCCCAAGGGCAGTCAAACCGAGAGATAATGCCAGGCCTGTCGTGCGCAGCGCTCGTAAAGCCAGAGTGGTTGATTTGGCGTGCTTGCTTCGATCTCTCGCTATCTTACAATGAGAGCGGGGAAGCTCGTTAACCTATATCCCCTACGGACAGGGGGGGTTGAGGATATCGTAGTCGGTGTGGTGTATGTGATTGCTCTGAAATGTGTGTCAACAGCACAAGGCGCAATCAACCCACAGATATTATTGTGGCGTAAGATTGCACACTGTAGTTCGGAAAACTGCCTCGTTGTGATCGTCTTTACGAAGATTGATAATCGGAAATTTATGTGGTTAGGCGGGGAAGAAAGAAGAAAGACGAAGTTTGAAAGTAGTATTATTTGATTATTGAAAGTCGTTATAATAATTCACCATGCAATGGGAGATTTTAAATAGAAGGTGAAGAAGGTGAAGAAGGGAAACTGATTTGAAGTTTCTTGGAGATTGTTGTTGATGTGAGAGTGAGAGTATGAGTAAGAGAAGTTGGTGGTTCTGGTGTTCTACGCATTTGAGATGGGATGGATGGGTCAGTGACGCAAAGTATTCGATTCTATGGTTCTATCAAATGTGACAGGGGGTTCAGATTGTGAGTGGATGGTGGCAAGGCTATGCTGGGTCCTTTGAGAACGAACAATCCATCCATTCTCCAGATTAATAAGTACTACAAAGTACCTTCACACAGTATGTTATTTACAAGTGTGACATTGGATAAGCTTAGAAGATGGATTGTGCTTCAAATCTTCAGTCGTCGCACAATCATGTCTATTGGGATTTGCTTGCAGGAAAGGAAGGACGAGAGTCAAACATAACCACGCTCAACCGATCACATTCTTACGCATTCCAACAATTCCCCAAGCTGAAAGAAAAGGTGAATTCTAGATCAAGGGCGGGGTCAAAACTGAGACTGTGATGAATCACATACATCAAATGCAACGTATGGATATAGATCTACTCGTTTCAAGTCACATTTTGAAAGATTGAAAGATTGAAAGATTGAAAGATTGAAATGTTGAATAGTGAAGTTGTTCTCATCATGCAAAACCGCACTTCCGCACCCAATGGTATATCAAAAAAGCCCCCCAAATCATGTATACACACTTTCATTCTGTTCATCCGAGCCTTTGAAGAATTCAACCCGCCAATTATCTATTATTTCTACTCACACCTCTGAATAACATCGAGCCCACAACTCCAGCAGCAATAGCAACGCCACTGAGAATCGCAACACCTATTAAGCCCTCTTTCGCAACTTTATCGTCGATCAACCCCTTCAGACTGCTTGCCTGTAAATTCTCCGGTTCCTTTTCCATTAATAAATCATTATATCGTCGTGCTTCAGAGTAGTTTCCTAGTTTGTAGTTGCCAAGGGCGAGGTAGTAGAGGCATTCCCTTCTTCGCTCAGGGGATATGCGAAATATGTCGGAGAGGAGACGAACTCCCTCTTGTTGTTCATGTCGAGAATTTGACTTGATCAATCCCTGATTCAGTTAGCGACTGGCCAGAGAAACCAAAAATGCAGGATGAACAAACCCATGCGTAGTTGAACTGTGTCTGCACGCCAACATGTTCGCCCTCTTTCTCATATTGCGCTCTTAGAACTTGGAGTTCTGCAGGCTTCAACGGGCTGACAGTTTATTAGACTTGGTTTTCCATAGCTTTTCCACCGTTGTCCCTTTGAGAAAAACTAACCTTTCAGCATCCGCGGCATCTGGTATAGACAGTCTTGTTAGCATCACTGATTCCAGGCGAAATGCGTAAAGAAATGCTGTGAAACGAGTATGGAGCTGGGTATCCAATATTTCGGTAGCCATATTTATACTTACATGGAAGTCCGCCACTCATCTTCAAAACTTTCGTCTCAAATTCAGTATTCTTCAAAAAAGGAATATGGAAGTTGCGATATGAAATTGTTTACTTGAAATGGTTAAAGATGCTCTAAGGTTGGATGGAGTACCCAGTAGCTATAGCGTCATGTGGTGCGGCCGCATGGGATTTTTAGGTTGCCTTTGCAACCTTTTTTAGTTGTCAGAAGCGGGCCCTGTTTGTTTACATCGAAACCTCAACTCTTTGCTTCACTACAACAAAATCACAAATATACAACAACGACATCCACACTTGCTCTTCAAGTAATTTACAATATGCTTCTCGACGAAGATCCTGCGACTCTCATCCGTCATACAATTGGCAATTTTAATATTGTTCCTGATAAATCTGCTGTTGCGCGCATCAATGAATCTTTATCAACTTTACAACAAGCTCGAGATCTCAGAGTACGGGAAGCAGAGGGTGCATTGAAAAGTAAGTGACCAATCATGATATCGAGAATCACAATGGTATACTAACAATATGTAGAACTATCCAGAAACTTAAATATTCTCAATAACAATCATCTCGAGACTGTTTCCGCCCATTCCCCAACTGCACACGCTTCCGAAATAGCTACTTTAGATACACAAAAGTTTCGTATTGCGAAAGCAGCTAGTGACCTAGAGATAGAATCCGAACGCCTCTCGTCACAACTTGCGGATCTTCAGGCCCGCTTGCAAGAATTGGAACAACAAGGTATGGAAGGAGGAGAGAACGTAAAGAGAGGCCAGGTGGACGATGAGATTAGTCTCAAATTAAAGGTCTATAGAGGGCTAGGGATTGATATTGAAAGAGACAGAGAGAGTGGAGAATACTCCAAGGCTATTATCCGAAATGGGAAGAAAGGGGATGTACATGTGGTGAACATGGATGCTAAATTCTCGAAGTTTTTCTACGCGAATTACTTTTGGCAGACTTTGTAGAGATAAGACGGATGGATTGGTTGAGTGATGAAGTTTATGATTTGAAAAGGTTTCTGGAGTCGGTTTGGAGTTCTGGTGCTAGGATCATTGGGTATTGCATTGACTTGCAAATGAGATATGGCTGATGCCACGATCAGCAGATGAAGAGTTGTATGAAATTTACGAACAATAATCCAGATGTATAAACACTATACCAAACGTGTGCCGCAAAGTTCAAAGACTTTCTTGTACCTTGACCCAAAATCAAAAAGACATCCCAAACGTTGGATCCAAAAGCTTTCAATGTCCATCCAAGAAGGTATCACTCCTCAAAGCTTGCCGTCTAAACAGATAAACGGTAATTTATATCTGAATTCCGAAAATCTCCATTATTGAGCTGTAGCCTGGCCTATTTAATGTCCTCAATTCCTTTCCAGAAACGCCGAAGATACGTGCTGTGTACCGTTCCCGCCATAATTCGTGGTAAGCCAACCCAGTAATAGCTCATATCTGCTTCATATTGACAACGGAGCTAGCCTTAGAGCTGGCTAATGATCCAGACACGGACCCAAAAGATGTCCTTTTCTTGGTTCTCGGACTTTGAGTCATTGTTGGAAAATAGTTCTCCCCTCCCAACCCCAACCCAATAGAGGGCGGTGTTCTAGCCTTTGATGAATTCATTGTCGTCTCTGGGCTTCGGCTTCTCAGCTCTTCTGAGGGGAGACTGCCGGATGTCAAGGATCGCTTATGATGTCTCCTTCCGTGATTTGCGGGGAGCTCTAGCCTAGAATTCATATTCGTCCACAGCGCATCATCATCAGATCCGCTGTCGCCCAGACGCCATCCACCTACACCTTCGAAATCTCTGGAAGGTCCAACACTTTGGCCCAATCCAAGCATTGATGCCGAGCCCTTTAAGATATGATCTGGTACTGGCGTGATTGAACCAGTAGCCGATTGACTGCTGCTAGCGCTGCTCCTCCGTTTCTTGTGACGAATAGGTGAATTTGGAGGGTTGTAAATTGCTCTTTTGGAATGTGCAATTTTGATTTCAGCTTTGGGCCCACAGATATAGTATGGAATGACTGCGAGGGCGAGTTCAATGTATACAATCACGACTCGAAAGCAGAGGACACAGAAAGCAAAAGTTGTAGTGATAGTCGCGAACACTGCGATTGGAAATGTGAAGAAGAAGAGGAAAGGTAAAATGACGGCGTAAAAAGCGCTAAATAGCTTCATGATTTCAGCCAATTGGTCAAAATTTCAAGACATATCCAGCGAAAGCAATTGATACGGAGTTTGTTTGCAAATTGAATGTGTCCATGATGATGGGATAGATATCAAGTAGCGCTTTGTTTGGCTCGGTTTGGTATGATTTGCATGTGAAATATGTGGTGGGGTGATATGCTTGCGGAGTCTGTGCGGTAATGCGGCCGCACTCACTCTGCTAGGTGACGTCTGGAGTTGAAGATCTACTTGTGTGTTTTGACCTCACTTAATAATTCATTCAGACGTCTCTCCACAAGGTATAAATCCATAGAAAAATTAGAGACTGTTGTCTCATATCTCCCCCTATATAATATCGACCCTAACTGGATCAGTTAGAATGGCGAAAAATACCGAGTTCCCTTGGCATATTGGTGTTTATGATGCACATTGTCATCCAACAGATACCATGGATTCTATTGAATCGATGCCTTTGATGAAAGCAAGAATTCTAACAGTGATGGCTACCAGAGCACAAGACCAAGCGCTTGTTGCTCAAGTTGCTGATAGTTATGGTTTAAAAAAGCTGCAAGCAAAAGACCATCCAAATACAGAATGCATGGTTCCTTGTTTCGGATGGCATCCCTGGTTCTCGTATCAAATATTCGACGATACCAAAGAATCACTCGATTACTCTCTGTTCAGTACCGAAGCTTTCAAAATCGACCATTACGGAAAAGTTCTGACGCCGAGCCCCGCCGACAAAAAGTTTCTGTTATCATTACCATCTCCTCGCCCCCTTACGCAATTTCTGCGTCAAACTAAAGAGTATCTTCTGCAGTATCCGCTGGCACTTGTAGGAGAAATTGGACTAGACAAGCAATTTCGTTTACCGAGCGAGTGGTCCGGAGATGTTGAAAACTCTAAAGATGCAGGCCTCACACCCGGTGGAAGAGAAGGGCGACGTCTTACGCCGTATCGAGTTCAAATGAGCCATCAAAAGGTGATACTCAAAGCCCAATTGAAGCTTGCAGGTGAAATGCAGAGATCAGTGTCCGTTCATGGAGTACAAGCGCACGGCGTCCTGTTTGACACCTTACAAGAGACTTGGAAGGGTCATGAACGACAAATCCTCAGCAAACGAGAGAAGAAAAGAATTGCTGGAGTAGCACCCGCCTTGGATGATACAGATGATGAGAAAGATGAATTGAAAAATGAGTCAGAAAAACCATTCCCTCCGCGTATCTGTCTCCATTCATATTCTGGACCACCGGACACTCTCAAGCAATATTTCCATCCTTCAGTCCCAGCTGAGATATTCTTTTCATTTTCAGCAGCCATAAACATGTCCTCACCAGCTAGTGCTAAAGCAATTGAAGTCATTAAAGCTGTGCCTGATGATCGTGTCCTTGTTGAAAGTGATCTCCATATTGCTGGCGAAAAAATGGATAATCTGTTGGAGGATATGTGTCGAAAGATCTGCGAGATTAAAGGTTGGGACCTCGAAGATGGTATAACTAGATTGGCAGAGAATTGGAAGCGTTTTGTGTCTGTTTGACAGTAGTCAGATTATTCACACATTTTACACAATCACAATATTGTAATAAAATATCAGCAAACAATGGACTCTGAATTCCTGATTGGGAACAAGTCTAGAATGGTGGATAGCATACATCTCAACGTGAAGTTGAAGGCAAACGCCCTTGTATACATTACAAAGCTAAGATTCTATATATATTACTCTTTGTTGCTGGTATTGCATGCTCTCTTTTATACTAACGGCCAACAGACTAGATCTAACCATTCCGTTTTTTTACAAATACCGGTCATCTTCCCAAGCCAATTATTCGTAACTTGTGTACCTAGATATAACCGGGAATTCTTTCAACATTCTCCAGGATCCTCGCGACGGGAAATAGCATTTCTTCGGCACAATGATATATTGACGTTAGATCAATTCAATTTAACGACGTGAGTCCGATCCACACTCTGTATGATAGCACACATTCAAAGAAACTAAATTACCCCAGCGAAAACTCCTTGCTCACTGCCCATGCGCCTTGATCTGCTTGAGAATTCTACAGAGTCTTTGCCATCGTTCTTTATTGAATAAGTGCTCTATTCGCAGCTAGAAGTGAATGATCTGCCAAAGGTGCAGAACTGTATGGGTCATGTATCATCTTTCAGACGAAATGTAGATATTGGACTAGCCATTTATGTATGCCTAAGTTGAAAGAAATAGTTTCAATACAGAATTTGAACGCAACACAATCGCCATCTACAAATCGCAAGCTATCGATAGTTGCAGCGCATCGTATTTTCTTCCTTTGACTGTCACAACCACAGTACTTCATTTGGGTATGTACAAAAAGTAATATCTTGTGGTGAAACGCAACTAACCTAGCATTATATTAGGCTTAACACTCTTCAAAACTGTCAACAGATCCCGATATGCTCTGCTGTGGTCACAGCAAAGCTCCTCCAGTTTGTCTAATAGTTCACGCGGTGGGATTTATGACCCTGTGGAATACGAAATGAGACGTTGGCGTGTTAGATTCTTGTTACCCGGAGCAAAGTATCCCATATCTTCTAATCCATCAAAGGTATGTCAATCTCTGGTACATCTAAGAAATCTTCGACTCTTTGTACGAAAATTTCGGAGCCTTTCGTCTGCTTGGCTCTTTCATTTGTTTCTCAGTGCGATGTTTAGAACTTAAGATTTTTTGTTGAAGATGTCCCTTGAGCACAGTTTCAAGATCTGAATTATTCGAGCTTGTTTTATTACAAGGCAGTTTATACCATTTGATATTAATGAAAGCATCTCAATAATTTCTCAG